ACTATTACTGACGCCTGCCAGTGGGAGTTTGTAAACACTGGCCATGACTTATAGATGAGACTACTGAACTGAGTTTCCTTCTACATGTAACGGTTTGTCATGAAACGTTTTGTTATTGAACTGAATTTGATTTCCGCATTAATGGTTTATCATTAAAAGTCTGTTACGCTTACATGGTTTATCTGGCATGCTTCAAAGTTTTACCCAAGGGCTATACATATTTACTTACTGAGTTTATCTCATAGTTTTCCTTGTCCACCATTTCAGGAATCGAAACCGAGGATGGGGGAAATCAAGGGGAGTGACGAGTTAGAAGGTTAGCCACCTGTAATTTGATATAGATTATGATCCTGTAAGCTAGAGTGTATTTGGAGATTTTATGATATCAAAGCAGATTGTAAAAATTTTATCTTGAGATTTGGTGGTATCAGATGTGATTTGGATAAGTTCCGAGTCTTGTGCATTTGTGGGACCATCTCACGAGTGCACGGCGTCTGTCGCGCCTTGAATTCGGGTTTTGGGGCGTGACATGTGAAACCATCATAAACTTCCCTTTTTTTTAATGTTTTTTTTTGTTTTTTATTTTTATTTTTATTTTTTATGCATGGGGTTGAAAGTGAAGATATAAAGTGCATGGAATGCACCTAACCTCAAGAATGATGTTCAAATGCAAAAGATGAATAATTAGTCATACCTCAAATGTATATAAAAATGAAAACCTGTCATATGCAGAGACAAGGTTAGTGAAGAAAAATGCCCCTTTGTGTCTTACACATGGTATTCCTAACCTCACAGGTGGGATGCTAAGGGAAACATGTCTTAGGGTTGGTATCTCTCTAAGGCCAATACATGTTTTCCTAAAGGGCGTTAGGCCTTCTCAACCATTTATCCTTTCAGAGTCAACGATAGATATTTCCAAAAGCTAATACACAGAATGATATTACATCATCAAGTGTCGTATTAACCAATGGAAACAACCTAACGGGAACCGATCTTACTCCTCAAGGTGGGAAGAATTGCTCTTCCAAGCTAGATTCGTAAGGATCCCAGACTAGAGGTCGGGTTTACCTCAAACACAAACCTAATGCAAAATGAGAGTGAGTATGTGTAAGGGGCATGACACTCCAATAACTTGCACAATGGCAACCACAAAAATAGCAACATATATCCCACAACAAACAGATAAAGCATGTAAAGCACTCAACAAATATATCATCCACAAATACACCTACTTACACAGCCGGAAGGGACTCACCTCGGACTCCCATGCCAAATGCAAAAAGTTAGTACATCCACATACAAGCAAGTAGGCATGTAAGTGTCACGCCCCA